TCATTACTGTATCAAGATGGACCTTAAATCTCTGACATCACCAGATGCAAAAACAGGGTCTGAATGCATCTGACTGCTTCAGTATGTGCTCCCTCTGGCTTGGTTTCCTTGATTCAGCAGCAGCTACTGGAGCTTCTCCCATAGGCAGGGACCTTAGCTGCTTTTCCCATATCTGTAACCAACCGGATGTGGCCATGGCTCCATTCCTACTTGCCAGGTCTAGAACAAAATTATCAGTGGCAAATCTGGAAAAACTTCTTAAGATGGGTGTAGGTGGGCTTTTCTGTCCCCCCAGCTTCTCCCCAAATAACCACACAGAGACGTATTAATGATAAATGCCCAGCTGATAGCTTAAGCTTGTGTTTTAGCTAGCTCTTTTTTTCGGGGGGGGGGGGGTTCGAGACAGGGTTTCTCTGTGGCTTTGGAGGCTGTCTTGGAACTAGTTAGCTAGCTCTTTTAACTTAAATTAATCCATTTCTATTAATCTATGTGTTGCCCCCAGGCTTGTTTACCTCATGTACATACTTCCCACCATGTTCACTCAGCATCTCCTCAGACTTCCACCCTTCTTCTTCCCAGCCTCCTCCTAATCTGACTCTCCTTCCCAGTCTCTCCCTGCCCAGCTATAGGCCAGTTAACTCTTTATTAACCAATGAGAGTATGCAAGGATGGTTCAACAGCAGATAGGGTCTGTTCTGGCTAGGTTTATATCAGCTCAACACAGCTCGAGTCATTTGGGAAGAGGAAGAAAATGAAAAATTGAGAAAATGCCCCCACCAGAATGGCCTGTGAGCAAGCCAGTGGGGCATTTTCTTAATTAGCAATTGACGTGGGAAGGTCCAGTCTACTGTGGGTGTTACCACCCCACGGCAGGTGGTCCTGGGGTACATAAGAAAGCAGGCTGAGCAAAGTCAGTAAGTAGCATTCCTCCAGAGTCTCTGCCATCAGTTCTTGCCTCCAGGTTTTTGCACTGAGTTCCTGCCTTGACTTCCCTAGATGATGAACTGCAAGCTGCAAGCTGGAATAAACCCTTTCCTTTCCAAGTTGCTTTGGTCATAGTGTCTTATCACAGCAATAACAACCGAAGAGAAGTTCAGACTGTCTGTGTTCTATATTCAAGTGGGATTTCTGGCAAGTCTTTACCTGGTGGTGCCATCAGAGGCACACAGCACCTATCCTTGGCAATACTACTGTCAATAAGTTGTTATATAACACAGCTATTTTAATTGCACAATTTCCCCCCAAGTGCTGAGCATCAAATCCAGGGTCTTACACACCACAGACAGTGTTCAGTAACTGAGCTGCAACCTAGCTATTTCCATAATTTTATTTTTGATTATTAGCTGGATTATTATAAGGAGGAGGCATTGCCTACAAGTCTGTGGTTATCTTTAGGTGCAGTCCATGTAAAAGGGAAAACAAATATCCAGTTGTCACCCATTATTTTAAAAATTCTTCAAGAGTCCTGTGATGCTGTATTATTGGATTTTATGCATCCAAGTTTTGAACATGCCAGATCTGTTTCAATTAACTGCTTCTGCTCTTCTTGATGATAGTCTGTAGCTCTTCTTTTTGCAATCGACACTGTTGTTATATGGCATCACAGTGTCTGTTTTTCTGTCCATTTTCTGGTCTTCCTCCCACCTGAGCACCAGGAGCACAGGTCAGAAACTGTTTATGTACACTACTCAGCTCTCTAGTGCTGTTTCTAGGTGTACTTTGAGAGACTGATTTCTTCCTTAGGGTCAAATTCTCTTCTGTGTCTCTGGCCACTGGTGCTACCTAGCTGTGGATGCCACACCCTTTCCCTGTGAGTTTTCACCGTGTGCAGCACTGTAAAAACTTCTGTGCCGTTCGTTAGGTCATAGTGTTTTATCATAGCAACATCACAGACAAGGCCAAGTTACCAAGCACTCTGTCCCCTCCAGGCCTCTGGCTTTATCAAGTTGGACAGGGCCATCTTTTTTAGATTACCTCACTGCTGAAAGCCTTCTGGATGCCCCTAGACTACCAGGGCTACCTGACTAGTAGGAACACAGTGATGCATGCCTGGTGGATCTCCCAGACCCCTGTCTTCTCTCCTTTCCCCTATTTTTCCCCAGAGCTAGCAACTTCCCTGAAGGACTAGCAATGCTAAGCTGAGAGCTTTGAAGCACTGTACAGATCAGAGCTCTTCTCTGGGGAGGTCTACTGGCTTCCCGCAAGGCTTACCCAGCTATTCCTGCTCTCTCTGGGCTACAATCTGATTGTCTAACATGTCTGTAAATTGATATTTGACTTATTCTGTTCAGTGTCCTAGTTGTTTGGGTGGGAGGGTCACACAGCCTTTGTATACTCATGCCTATTTTGCACACAGGGCTAGAGCTGGGCCTACATTTTCCATGCTTTCAGCCACTGTCGGTGATGCAGTGCAAGTGCCTAATGTGCCCAGAGGCATCAAAGAGAGCCACCGAATTTGTGAATGAGCACAAGGACAATGTCACAAGGGAGTAGGAACCAGCCGCAAGACAGAACCTGGGAGGAGTTTTACTTATCTCTGTGCATTTTTTCTGCCTAGCGCACTCTTCTCAGGTGCTCATGGGATCCTCTCAGGGCAGCCAGCAGGAAGACATCTCTCCAGGAGAACATAGCAAAGTCAAATACTGCAGGGGTCACTGGTAACAGACCTTGGATTTAGTTCCAAAATGTTCTGGAGCCCTGGGTCAAGCATTTGTTGAAAAGCAAGGCAAAGACTGACAGGGTTAGAGATACATGGAGTCATGGGGTTGGAATGATGGCTCAGCAGTTAAGAGCACTAGCTGCTCTTCCAGAGGGTCTGCATTTGATTCCACATGGCCGCTAACAATTGTCCATAACTCCAGTTTTAGGGATCCAATACTCTATTTTGGTCTCCAAGGGAACTGTAGCACAAGTTCTAATAGGTCTTAATAATAAAAACCCAGAGTCAGATATTGGCTGGGTAAATGCTGAAAGAAGTAAAGGAGCCAGCCACAATAGAGACCTCTTACCTCTACTGAATCCTCAGACCAAAGGGGTGATCCTTTCCCTACAAATCCTCAGACTGAATGCCATGAGCTCCTGTCTCCTCCTGCCTTATATTCCTCTTTCTGCCCAGCCATATCACTCCTGTCTCCACCTCCCTAGTGCTGGGATCCCCTTGTGTGATCTCTGTTTCTTCCTTTCTTTTTTCTTTTGTTTCTTTTTTGTTTTTTTTTTTTTTGAGACAGGATTTCTCTGTATTGCTTTGGAGGTTTGTCCTGGAACTCGTTTTGTAGACCAGGCTGGCCTCTGAACTCACAGAGATCCACCTGCCTCTGCTTCCTGAGTGATGGGATTAAAGGCGTGAGCCACCAATGCCCTGCCATGCTCTGTTTCTTTTTTAGACTGGATCAATTTTGTGTAGCCCAGGTTAGCCTTGAACTCACAGAGATCCATCTGCCTCTGTCTCCCAAGTAATGGGATTAAAGGTGTGTGCCACCACTGCCTGTACTCTATAGCTAAGTAGTGGCTTAGCTCCGAACTCTGATCTTCAGGCAAGCTTTTATTTGTTAGATCACAAACAAAATATCACCACAGGGAACTGCACACATGTGGTACACAGACACGCATGCAGTAAAACACCCATATTATATATTATATATATATATATATACACATGTGTATATATATAATATATATATATATATATATATAATCTTTTAGAACATTTTAAAAAAGAAGCATGGGTAGGTGATAAGAAGACTATCAAAGAGAAAACTCATCACAGAGGATGGACCGCATACTCCAGAGAGGCTAGCTGGAGATAGAAGTAAGGAGGGAAGTATTCCCTTCCCTAGCATCCAAACTGAGTACCATAATTTTAGGTTCCTTCATTTGCTTGGCTGAACCAGAACACATACATGTACCTGTGTACTTACTTAGTATATTACTAAATCAAACAGTCACATGATTTCAGGACTTTTTCAAGATGCCAGGGTACCCTAACCCACTGGTTTCTGCTTTGGGTAAAGCCTTGGAGTATTTTGAGCAGGGAACATGTCCCAACTAATGCTTTATAAAAGCCACTATTTTGGGCTGAAAATGGATCAAGGAGGAAGGACAGATACAAGGAGACTAGTTGGAAGCTATTCACTAACCTAGGGATACAGGGTGAGGATGGGGGAAGGAACATTTGGCTGGATTCTGATGGGTCAGCTGATAGCTAGAGGAAGACTTCAGTGCTGGAAGGTGGTGGCCTAAAGTGAGCAACAACCTTCAGGAAAAGACCAGAGTTCCCGAGACACCCTTGATGGCTAGACACAGAAACAAGGTCTGGACCCTGGGACCTAGAGTAGCATCTGAATATGGTCTTACCAAAGGCATGAAAAGCCCACCTGCAGATAGGTGGTTTTGGGGTCTGTCAAGTTAGATGACTTCCTGGGATCTGTGCCCTAATCCCAGGGCTGCTCTTTGCTGCTCAATAGTAACTCTTTGCTGTTTCTAATGCCAACCCCATATCCTCCATTACTCTAGGACTCTCTCAACTCTCTCCCTCATCAATAGCCTCTCTGTGATCGCAAAGTTCAGTCAGATTTCTGTAGAGCATAGCTCCCTTGTTCTCATGGAACATAACCTCCAAAGGGCCATACGACGCCAGCAGGACTTTCGACCTCAATGCACATATGCCCTTACTGGGTTCCTTTCAATGCCCGACACCCGCCCCGGCCCCGCCCGCCAATTCCTGCAGGCCCCCTTCTAACTCCTTCCTTGGCCCACTGCCTGTCTACACACCGCTGTCACAAACTACCTTGTTCCCTAAGAATAGCCTTCCAGCGGAATGTTTTAATCCCAGCATCTTTGAGTTCGAGGCCAGCCTGGTTTACAAAGTGAGTTCCAGGACACCCAGGGCTGTTACACAGAGAAACCCTGTCTTGAAAAAAACAAAAACAAAAAACTGAACAGATTTCCTTTTCTCCGTTTCTGCCCAGTCCCAGTTACAGTGACCACTGCCCACTACGCACAGATGAGCTGCAGGTTTCCACGGTTCGAAAGTCGAGCAGAAAGGTTTCTGTCTGTGTCCTGGCTGATTCCTAGACAGGACAGGAATGTAAGAGGAAGGCTTCCGCGGGAGGAAACCCTCGTCCGGTGCTGCGGGTTAGTTCCCGACTCAGACGGCCGCTGTCACAAGCGTCCTGAGGTCCAGATTGTTGCCTCTGACCACGCCTTCTGACCCACCTCTCACCCTGAGGCCACGCCCCTGAGCTCCACCCTGCCTGTCTCGCCGTGCCAGCTTCCTGAGTCCAGCGCCTCCAGCACGCGCCTGCGCCCTCTGGCCCCGCCTGAACCCCACCCCTGTAGGCTCCGCCCTCCAGAGGCCCCGCCTCCTCCAGTTCCAGAGGTGGGAGCCAAGCCGC